TCAGATATCTCATGCAGCACTATTTTCACTGATACCTTTTCTATGGCAAGGGATATAATGGAAAGAATACACAAGTGGGACCATACCAAACTAAAAAGCTTTTGTGTGGCCAACTAAAACATCAACCAAATGAAAAGGGAACCAACCATATAGGAAAATATATTTGCCAATGATACCTCAGAAAGGATATGATCTCCAAAATACATAAGGAACTCACATGACTCCACACCAGGAAGACAAGCAATCCAATTAAAAGTTGGGCAAAGGACTTGAACAGACACTTCTCCAAAGAGGACATACAGGGGGTCCATAGACACATGAAAAAGTGCTCAACATCTCTAGCCATTAGAGAGGTGCAAATGAAAACCTCAGTGAGATACCATTTCACACCAGTCAGAATGGCCATCATTAGGAAATCAACAAACAACAAGTGTTGGTGAGGCTGAGGAAAAAAGGGAACCCTAGTGCACTATTGGTGGGAATGCAGACTGATGCAGCCACTGTGGAAAGCATTATGGAATTCCATCAAAAAAATAAACATGGGGACTTCCGCCAAGATGGGGAGGCATAGGTGGAGACGCCATGCTTCCTCACACAACCAAGTTTAGAGACAACTAAATATTAGCAACAGAAAACATAGTCAGAACACAGAAAATTGAACTTTTTGGAAGTCTGATAACAACAAATTCTTCAGCCTGACCGGTAAGAGGGGTGAAAACAGCAGCTGGAGGAGCTGGGTTGCACAGGAAAAATCCGTCAGACGGACTCAGGCACGCAGAATCCAGGCGCAGGGTTGGACCTGGTGGGCAACTCAGTGAGCGACCGCGGGGAAACAGCAAGGGAGCAGGGCTGCGGGTTGACTGTGGTCTCGCATCTGTACGTGGATAGACAATCGAGGAAGTGGGCGATTGGACGGGACCCAGCAGGCCCCAGCGGTGAGCGGCAGCAGAGGGCGCCGCCATTTCCCCGCTCTGACCCCGCCTCCACATACAGCGTCATAACCCAGCGCCCTAAGTGGCCCTGCCCTGGTGAACCACCTAAGGCTCTGCTCCTCACCCAGTGGCAAGAAACAGCAGAGGGGGCCGCCATTTCCCCGCTCTGACCACGCCCCCATGTCCCCACATCATTTCTGACGCTTCACAACCCAGCGACCTGGGAGTCCAAGGCTCCCCTGCTCGTACTTAACAGGCGTGAACAGAACAAAAATGGCTCAAGAAGATCTCAAAGCCCCAGAGCCTATAAATCTAAGCGATGAAGAAATAGCAAAACTCTCAGACGCACAGTTTAAAACACTGGTCATCAGGATCCCCACAGAACTGGTTGATTATAGCCACAAATTAGATATAATATGAAGGTAAAACTAATTGAAATGAATGGAATTACACAGAAAATCAATAGCGATGAAAAGAAAACTGGGTCTCAAATCAATGGAGTGGACCAGAAGAAAGCAAATAATGGCCAAACAGAAAAGAGTGAAGAAGCAAGAATTCAAAAAAATGAGGAGAGGCTTAGGAACCTCCAGGACATCTTTAAACGCTCCAACATCCAAATTATAGGGGTACCAGAAGGGGGAAAGGAACAGCCACCAGTGGAAAACTTATTTGAACAAATAATAAAGGAGAACTTCCCCAATCTGGCAAAGGAAATAGACTTCCAGGAAGTCCAGGAAGCTCAGAGAGTCCCAAAGAAGTTGGACCCAAGAAGAAACACACCAAGGCACATCATCATTATATTAGCCAAGATTAAAATGAAGGAGAGAATCCTAGAAGCAGCAAGAGCTAAGGGGACAGTCACCTACAAAGGAGTTCCCATCAGACTGTCAGAGGACTTCTCAAAAGAGACCTTACAGGCAAGAAGGGGCTGGAAAGAGGTGTTCCAAGTCATGAAATCCAAAGACCTACAACCAAGATTACTCTATCCAGCAAAACTTTCATTTAGAATGGAAGGACAGATAAAGTGCTTCTCAGATAAGATCAGATTCAAGGAGTTCATCATCACCAAGCCCTTACTATATGAAATGCTAAAGGGACTTATCTAAGAAAAAGAAATTAAAAAAACATGAACAGTGAAAGGACAGCAAACTCACAGTTATTAACAACCACACCTAAAATAAAAGCAAACTAAAAGGACAGCTAGATCAGGAGCAGAACCATAGAAATGAAGATGTCAAGGAGGGTTAGCAACAGGGGAGTGGGAGGAGGAGAAGGGGGGAGAAGGTACAGAAAATAAGTAGCATAGACAGTAGATAGAAAATAGATAGGGGGGCCAGAATAGTATGGGAAATACAGAATCTAAAGAACTTGAGACACATGGTCATAAACTAAAGGGAGGTTATGGTTGGGATGGGGGGTTAGGGTGGAGGGGAATGAAGGGGGAACAGAACAACTGTAATGGCATAATCAATAAAAATAAATAAATAATTTAAAAAATAAATAAATAAACATAGACCTGCCTTTTGACCAAGTGATCCCACTGCTGGATTATACCCTAGGAATCCTGAGTCACCAATTCAACAAAACCTGTGCACCCCAATGATCATAGCAACACTATTTACAGTAGCCAAGAGTTGGAAACAGCCCAAGTGCCCATCAGTAAATGAATGGATCAAAAAACTGGTACATTTACACAATGAAATACTACACAGCAGAAAGAAAGAACTCCTACTCTTTGCGACAGCTTGGATGGAAATGGAGAGCATTATACTAAATGAAGTAAGCCAAGCAGTGAAAGACAAATACCATATAACCTCACCTATAAGAGGAACCCAATCAACAAAACAAACAAATGAGCAAAATAGAACCAGAGATGTGGAAATAAAGAGCAAACTGACAGTGACCAGAGGGAATGGGGGGAGTATAATAGGAAAAAGAAGCGGAAGGGGCGAGCAAAGGAACATGAATGGAGGATTCATGGGCTTGGACAATGAGGGGTGGATTGACTGTGGGAGTAGGTGGGGACAGGGTAGAGGAGAGCAATGATGAAAAAGGAGGGACAACTGTAACTGAACAATAGTAAATTTAAAACAAAAAATCTTGCAGAAAAAAAAAGAAAGAGATTCCCAAACAATAACTGTCCCCATCAAATTCAGAAAAGCTCACTTGTACGTTGTTAATTTCACAATATATTTGGAGAATTGGCCTCTTTGGCACTCAGTCTCTGATGTGTTCTTCCTCAAAAATTCAAATTTGTTCAGTTTGGATCTTAGACCCCCCCCCAAATCCTATTTTCAAAACTCACTATAACTAACTAACTAACTAACTAACTAACTAACTAACTAACTAACTAAATCTGGGAAAGCAACAACACTAAACACTTGCAGATACATTTCAATTATCCAAATGAGATAGAAGCAGAAAAGAAAACATTCTTCATTTTCTGCTTCCTCCTCCTGGGTTTAAATGCTTTAGTTTTAGATTCTCGAATCACTGATTGTGAAAAAGACACAGTGCGGCTGAGTAAAGAACATTTTGTGGGCTTCTCCTGGAGACTTCCTTCTTTCTCCATCAGCAGAGCAGCCAAACCAAGTACAAGTGGGTTTGTTTGAACACTTCCCCTTTACCAAAATACATAAATAAAGAGGAAATAACACGTGAACTACTTTTAAAAATATTATATTTATGTTTCCATTATTAAAAAATAAGCAATAACCACCAATACTTATGAAGCAGTAAGTGCCTGCCAGCCAATGCTCTGAGTGCACCAGCTTTTCCATCCAAAATTCCTGGGCTACTTACCTAATTTCTCCATATCTCTGTTTCCTCATCTAAAAAGTGGGAATTGAACATGATTCAAGTGAGGGCAAAAGATTATTTTTTAATGTAAGTTAAAACTCAGTGAAAGATAGTATAGCTCCCTCCCATTCCATTTGTACTTGATTTTGATTTTCGCCTACCTGTTTGTCAGGCAAGGGGCTATAATTATGTCTTTGTAGTTCAACTTTGTATGGGCTAATATTTATATTTATTTCCATGTCTTAATGTTTATAATAAATGGCTGTAAACACATTTTTCAAAGTGTAAAGTGCTTAGAAATAGAAAATGTTACATGACTGATCAGTTACTATTGCTGCCTATGAGTAGAGTTTTCTGGAAGTTGAAAACTAACCTGTCATTCACACGTTTCATGGATAATCTACAAGTCCAATAATGCACAGGTGGCTGTTTTATTGCATCTTTTCACTGACCTGTCCTAATAGTATAACTGGAATTAATTTCTGCACTAAGGAATAAAAAAGTATTTTTTAAACCACACATTTATTTAACCTGTAGAAAGATTGTCAACAGGTATATTTGAATATTCCACTCCAGGTTTACTTTAAACACTATGGCTCTTCTAAGAAGTGAGTGTAAATAAAAAACAGTAGCAGCACTGATCATTTAAAGAGTCCCTGTAAAAATATGAATTGTGGGGGAATATAAATTGAGAACAGTCATTTATTAAATATATACCAGTGCCAGCCATGTGACCTGCATGCCTCTTGATTTGGAGTCCACAATAGTAAACTAAACAATGGAATGCCTGCCTTTATGAAGGTTACCCCGTATTGGGGCAGACAAACACTGGTTGTCAGACACTGTGAGGAATAAACATATAGTAAGTAAAGGATAAGACTGTAGGAGGAGGGTTCTGGTGAAGAGGAGGTGAGCCCAGGATTCTCCAAAAAGACCTAGTGAAGTGAGGAAGCAAGCCGTGTGCATGTCTGTCAAGAGGGTTTACTTGTACTGACACTTCCTCATTCTCCAGAAGCCCATGCTCGAGACCTTAAAAATAAATGGACATGTAGCAATAGACACACAGCACACCACTGAATTTGACTTTACCAACTGTATGCAAATATGTCAGGTTAGGTATACATAGAGATCCTATAAAATTCCAAGAATAACCAGAAGTCTTTGCAGGCTTGAACTGTTTGGCAGAGATATTGCATCTAAGAAATGAAAGAGACTTAGGTGAAAGTAAGTTGCCTCTTCTCTCATTGGCTTGTGACTATCAGTTACTCATCATATAAGTAGTCAGTTTGCAGTTGACTACTTGCAGTCACATACTGGGCATAGAAGAAACTAGAGATTCCACAGAGACACAGCACAAGTAAGTGATATGATTGACCTCTTTAAAGATAAGACATGCGATTGTCTTTACTCCTCACTTTAGGGTTTTATTTTTATTACTGTCATATTCTGTGTGTGACTGAGCAACTGTCTTACAACTTTTTTCCACCATTTCACTTGGATCTTGCCTCATTTGGAACCTCTCTATGTTAGTGGCAAAGTTGAAATCAAATGATAATTTCTAAAAGAAATGTAAGTATAGGAGATTTTCAAAGATCCTTAAAGTGGATTTTAACATAGGAAATACTGTCAATACCAGAGGGGAAATCCTGTCTTAATCAGGGTTTGTGAATTGTTCCGGCATTTTCTCAAGTGATATTTTCAATATGTGAAGCGATAAAGAATTCCACAGTTCTTCACTTTCCTTTTTTTAAAGTTTAGGAATTTTATTCTTCCCTGTCATCCTGTGTAAGAGTATTTATTATTATTATTATTATTATTATTATTATTATTATTATTGGAAGGAAGAGGGAAGATGGGCATGGGTGGGCAACTTTGCTGTGTCTCTGTGGAGAAGAATTGAAGACTTAACACGTCGAACATTCTTAGCATGGTGACTAGCACATAGTGAATGCTTAATAAATTTTGGCCAAAACTTTGTTGTAAGTCCTCACCACCAAGGGCAGGGGGCAAGTGAAGCTAGTGAGGCCCCTAGGGCACACGGTTTACAGGGGCGTTTACTCTCAGAGGTAGACAGATGCTGATTCTGCACTTGTACGAGACTTGAGTATCTCCTCGAGAGAAGAGCCACTTTAAGGCAAGCAAAAATAATTTTTTTCAGGTATTTTATTTGTAATATTTTGTATCCCTTTAAGGCTCATTTTGTTGAAGTGTCCCTATGAGTTGCCAAAAATTTCATTCTATCATAATTTGTTTTTGAAGATCAGTTAAGGCATTTACCTCAGGCCAGAAATTTGAACTCACAGCCCCCAAAAGATATTTCAATGATTCCCCTTGCTTTAGATTCAATGTCAGGTGACTGTTTTAAATGACTTTTGAGTTGGCCTTTGATAGAAAATTAGATAACTTGCCTTGCTAATTCAAAATTAAACAGCTGGTGTTTGATTGAAATCTATGACTTAGTTAAAAATTCTTACATTTCTCTATTTTCCTACAATTTAACTCCACTTGGCAACTTTTCAGAACTGAACTGGAAATGCTCAAGTACACTGTGAATGAGGGAAATCAGCATTCTTTACCACCATTAGTGGGTTATACAGTACTGTTATTCAATGTGAGTATGTGCAAGGAATTCTTGTGAGGACAATAACATTTCATGTGATCGCTGTCCAAATCCCACTGTTGTATTCCCAAACACTCTAGTCTATACAGTGAGAGTGCAAACATTATGTTCTATTTATCACCAGTCAGGTTAAGATGTTCACAAAGATCTGTTGGCTAAGTCACAAGTATTTAAACTATTTTATACTTAAAACTCACAGGCCTTGGCTGGTGTGACTCAGTGGTTTGAATTCTGCCATGCTAACCAAAGGGTCACTGGTTCCATTCCCAGTCAGGGCACATGCCTGGGTTGCAGGCCAGCTCCCCAGTAGGGAGTGAGTGAGAGGCAACCACACATTGATGTTTCTCTCCCTGTCTTTCTCCTTCCCTTTTTTCTAAAAATAAATAAATACAATCTTACTTTAAAAAAAACTCATAGGCATAAAATATAAAATAAAACTCACAGGCATATATAAAACTGTATCCAGAATTCCCAAGTATGTTTGAAGTTCCTTTTATTTAAGAGTAAGAGCTCACTCATATGGGTCAACACTTTCATGAATAAAATAGGATAAATAGCATTTAAGTTCTGATTGAGTTATAAAACAATTAATAATTCCTTACTTGTAAGTATTTTATTCATCGAAGTTACTCCAAAATTTGTATCCCTTATTTCGGTTACCTGATGAAATCTTTAAGGTGCACAACATAATAAGTGAACATGAATTAGCCTGCTTTGCCAGAGAGTTACGTTTGGATTGTCGTCACCTTTCTGGCACAAACACTGGAATTTTTTAGACTATTTCACTGTGCTCTTACAACAGTGTACAAAATAAAATATTGGCTTAGTTAAAATAAACTAGTTTTATTCTAATAGTTCATATTTTATCAAACTGCAACTACAATAAATTATAAAATTACTACACTGAAATGTATTATTGTTATATGAAGTAAAAAGGGCTACACACCTTGGAGAAAGAAAGAAAATACCTAAGACAGAACTTTTCAAAAATGCCATTAGTTTCCATGTGAAAGATTTATTTATGATGTGTAATTTTTTAGTGTGATTTGCTTTATTGCAATATTTGCTTTAGTGCAGCAGCCTAAAAGCAAATCCACAACTCCAAGCTATGCTTCTACAGGTTCTCATCAAAATCCCACCAGCAAGATGTATGTTTAGATAATATTATTCTAAAATGTATTGGAAAGATAATGGACTGAAGTACCTGAGGCAATTTTGAAAAAGAAGAATAAAGTAGAAGCAAGAAATCTCTTTGACTCCAAGCCTTACTGAACAGAGTAATTAATACTATCTGGTGTTGGTGGAGGTTCAAACACACAGCTCAGTGGAAGAAAATAGACAGCCCAGATACAGACCTACACAGAAATGTTCACCTGACTTTTTCCCAGTAACTCTCTTTTGTCCAACTGGTTGTTATCCTAAGTTCTTTTCTATAAGTTTTATTGTTTTTACAATACTTTTAAGTCCATGATTCTTTATCACTAATTTTGTATGAAACGTGAGACTTACAGTAGATCTAGGTTCATTGCTTTGTCTCTATATATCCAATCGTTCCATCACAATGTTCATTGTTTTTGCTCCATGTAAAAGATTTAATTTCTAAGCTAGCTTTTCATGTGTTAAAGCTAAATCTTCTTTTGCATTTAATGGGTTAATTCATTTAAGTTCATGAGTGTAAGTTTCTATAGAGGATATTTCTTAGTCATTATTCATATGCTTTTTTGAGAAACTATGTATTTTATTTTTCAGAATTCTAAGAGGGCTTTTTGTTTGCTGAGTCAGGAACTTCACACGACTTTCTCTGGAGGGGAAGGAAGGTAGTGGTTAGTTTTAGGTGTAAAGGAGATCTTTAAGTACGATCAACTTTTTAACTTCCTGTTTCTGTATCATTTCAGGAAATATATGCAGCTTTCCCTATCTACATGGGATTCTTATCACAGAATGACAGTGGAAGGACTCAGAAATGAGGCTAACAGGAAATAAGAGGGCAGCATGACACTAGAATTTGCCTAGGCCAGTCAAATCATATCTAGGTCTATAATCCACCCCGATGTTATTTCCATGTATCATGTAAAGTTGATATCTAATTAAGTGTATTTTTTCTCTTTTGTCTCAGAACCATTTTAGTCTGGTCCCCTCAGGTCCCCACTATAATTTCATGTCTATTTTGTATATCTGAGGTTCCGTTTTGAGCTGCTATGCACCCGTGTATGTCTAGTCCTGAATTGCAAGGTTTTCTACCTCTTGGTCTCTGGTAGGTCCAGTCCTTTCCTTCTGTTCTCTTCATTTGTCTTGGCTAGTTTGGTCCTTAGCATTTCTGTTTGAAATTTAGGATCAGGTGTATCTGTAGACTCTCTTAGATTTTGAATATAGACAATCATTTTGATTGCAAATGAGGACAGTTTTGTCTTTTCTTTTTCACTCCTTACCTATGTTATTTATTGTTGTCTTATCTCAGTGAGTTAACTAAGCCATCCAAGACTATGTTGAATAATAAGGGTGATAGCAGGTTTCTTGTTATTCCTGACATTAAAGAAAATGCTTCTGTTGGCTTTCCATTGTGTATGATGTTTTGCTCTGAGTTTTTTGTAGAGACTCTGTTCGGTTTAGGAAGTTCTTCTTTATTTCCAGTTTGCTAAGAGTTGTTTTATTAAAGGTTTTTTAGCACAAATGAGAAATTAATTTTATGAATTTTTTCAAAAGTATGTATTTGCATCTAATAAAAAGAGAACATGATTTTTCTCTTTTAATCTATTACTTTCACCTATTATGCAAATAGGTGTTTTGGTGTTGAAATATCTTTCATTTCTGGGATAAGCCCTATCTTGTTACTGTATCTTATTTCTTTTTATACACTACTAAATTTGAGTAGCTAATAAATTATTTAGGATATTTATGTCTTTGTTTATAAGTAAAATTAATCTGTAATATTCCTCTTTTAATTTGACTTTTTTCCATTGTTTAATTCTCTGAAACTACTTGCAGAAGACAAGGATTACATTTCCCTTGAAGTCTCAGTAAATTCACCTGCAGAGTCATCGAGGTCTTTTATCTTTCATGGGTGTAACTAATTACCAAGTTGGTTTCTTTACTGGTTATTGTTAAATGCGGGCTGTCAGTTTCTCTTTGATTTGATTGCGTTAATGTATATACCTCCTAAATTTTGCCATCAAGGGTTTAAATTCAGTGACAATAAAGTTATTTGTCGTGGTAGCTTATGATTTTTCATGATCTGCTTTATCTGCAATCCTGACCTCTGTTTTTCAAAATTTTATTTATTTATTTTTAAAGAGAGGAGAAGGGAGGGAGAAAGAGGGAGAGTGAAATATCAATGTGTGGTTGGCACACCCCATCCTGGGGAAATGGCCTGCTACCCAGGCATGTGCCCTGACTGGGAATTGAACCAATGATGCTTTCATCTGCAGGCCTGTGCTCAATCCACTGAGCTATTATAACCTCTTTTTATTTGTAATATTAATTATTTGTGATTTTTCATATATTTTTCTCTTTATCAGTTATACCAGAGGTTTCTATTTGAACTTTTAATACATTTTATAGAAATAGCTGCCAGGCCCTAATTTCCAACAATACATCCCTCCAGGGCACCCTCCACCTTGCATGTGTGATTTCGTTTTCCTTCATTTTGAAGAAGCCAAAGTCCTGCTTGGCCTCCATTTCTCAGAATGTGGGGTCCCGCTTACTGTATTCATTTCTGTTCATTTTGGCCCAGGCAAAAT